GGGGGGGGGGGGGGGCACATGGAGATCATAAATAACACTAGAGCAGGCATCGAGGTTAAAATTTCGCGGTTAATGGGGGGCAAATTTAGGTCCCGGATATAAAATCATGCTTTCATTGGCTAAATTGAAACTCCTCACCAATGGGAACATGAGTACATATCCGGGACTTGAATTTGCCCCCCAATAGCCTCATTCCTATTTTTGCCTGATGCTTCCTCTAGTGTTATTTATAATCTCTATGGGGGGGGGGGGCATTATTCGCGACGCGGATAGTGTCCGAGGGGACACAGTCGTGATAATTTTTGTGGCGCCAAAATACAGCTGCAAATTTGTTTTTCGAAGGCTTCGTTCACGTTGTTTTTAAATTAATCCCGTGAAAACGCGTGTATCTTGTCCCGCAGAAAACACGCGTCGTTTTCGCGCATGCTCAGACGATTTTCCCAGCTGTTCACAATCCGTCCTGAGACTGATCTATATTCTCTACTAAAACATTATTGATGTCATTTTAGGTACTACGATTCTCCTATTGCGACTCTGGATTTTTCATCATTGTACCCTTCTATTATGATGGCACATAACTTGTGTTATACGACACTGCTTAATGAAAACAGCATTAAAGAGTAAGTATCCACTGAAATGTAGGTTTAAAATTGTTGTACTAAGTTATCGGTGGTTTTCAAGTACATATATATTTGTTCAAACCTTCTGGACAAAACATTTCCATGCCATACAGGAAGACCTCGCGTATAAGAACCTAGATTTTAGGAACCTGTTAGGCTAAAATATTTAGACCCCTTTATACAAGAACCTCAACCTGTTTGGGCTAAAATTTCAAACAGGTTCTTATTTTTATCACTCTAAGAGTTGAAACGAAAAATTTATAAATCAAAGAAAATAAACTCTTCACAAAATAATGAAAATGACCCAGAAGTCGGAATCTTGGATATGTCGTAACATAATAAACAACATGTCTATATGGCGACATGGAAATAACTGTATCTACACCAACCGAAAATCAGCCGCTTTTTTAGAAAATGAGAACCTATTAAGAACCTGTTTAGCCTAATTTTGCGATAAGCACAGGGCTGCAAATAAATATTTGACTTGACAGGACACTTTTAATTTTGGTCCGACACAACTTGAATTTGGTAGGACAAAAACCAACACCACTAAGTTTGGTCGGACATATACAGTATACGTCACAAGATATATATAAGTCACGAGACAAGTATGTATAGCCATTCCGGCGCAACGTTAAGTAAAGTGCTGGAATGCCTCGTAGATTTTATTGCAAAATGCAAATTGAGTGAATTTGCAATCGGATTTTGTCACAGCAAAAAAATGTATAATGTGACAATTTTTTTTGTGATCGGACCAATGTCCGATCAAAATTACTTTTGCTCGGACATTTGCCAAATTTAGTCGGACATTGTCCGATGTCCGACAGTAATTTGCAGCCCTGTAAGCACCATTTATATAAGAACCTGTATAGGCTAACTTGAAAAATCTAGGTTCTTATACGCGGGGTCTTACTGTAGTAAAGCTTTGAATTAACCCAAGTATGATAGACTCGTTCCAAGATAGATCCACAAAGTTGTTCCGGGCTTTTTTCACGCGGTTTTGGTACATGCATTTACCGAAGTGTGTTGGAATATAGTTGAAAAAGCCGTCAAAATATGTAGAGAAACGCATTTTTGGAAGTTCCTAGTTGTTTTAAAAGTATTCTATTTAAAACACGAGGCGACAACAGAGTGTTTTATATCTGATAAAGCACGGAGTGTGAGTGTTTTTAAAAACGAGTCTGGCGAATTTCAAAAATGAACGTTGTCTATAAGCCGAGAAAATCAAGTTTATGTAAATGAACATGAATTTTTATCACATAAAACCACCGGCACGGTAGTGATTTCCTTTGTCCTTTCCTCGTTTGCCTTTTCCTCATGAATTATTAATGCTTTTTTAAACTTATTATAGACTTCGTTTTGAGTTGGTGTTTAGTATGTGCTATGTCTTTTATAGATTTTTTATTTTGTCCGAAATTTGTATGTACTCAGGTGAATATGATGCTTGTAATGTTACTCTGAGTGTATATCCACACCGGGCAGGCTTGAAAAATATGCCTAGCCACGGTGGGAATCGGCCCTACAACCTTTGGAATACTAGCCCAATGCTCTGCCAACTGAGCTACGCGATCGTAGGTTCGATTCCCACCGTGACCAGGCATAGTTTTCCAGGGCCTATCAGAGAAATTCGGGGGCCCGGGGCAAATTTTTGTTTTGGGAGCCCTATTTTCCCCAAAAATGCGGGGAGGATATTTTCCGGACATAAAAAAAGGGTCAAAAAAATTTTCGGGTCGAACATCAGTTAAACTAAGGTTCAAAAACATTTTCCCGGCAAATTCCTGTTACAACATGGGTCAAACCCTTTCTTTGGATCATTATATGTCAAAATTTTTTCTCATACCTTTATTTTTATCATAAAACGTTCGAAATTATTTTTTTTTAATTTGCAAGTTTGGGGGCCCCCTTAAACTGGGGGCCCGGGGAAAATTTCCCCCCTCCCCTCTGAAAGGCCCTGCACTTTTCAAGCTTGCCCGGTGTGGATATACATAATACACTCAGAGTAACATCACAAGCATCATTATAGAAAGGTTAACCAAATTTATCAAAAACATGCGTAAACTATAGCAATCAGTTAAATAACAACATATTTCGGGGGGAAAATGACCAAACCGTGGGAAAAGTGGTCTGAGACGAAATGGTGAAGCTATATTTCTTGGAAAACGTATATTTTAATGTAATTATTATACATTGTAGTTGGTAAAAACAATTTGATTGGCTAAGAGCTTACAGTTAAATCGCGCAATCACGCAACCTACTGAAAATTCAGTTATCTACTAGCAGATAACTGAGTTATCTGCAAATGATCCTGCGATGATTAGCAAGCGGTATCTATTGAACACAAAAAAATGTATAATAAAACAATTATTGAATTCGGTTTTTGCGATATGCAAAATTATCAAGGTCTCGGTAAGCGTTATCAGACGAGCCGAATGTTATCGCTTACCTTGACCTTGATAATTCCGTATATATCAAAAACCTCATCCAGTAATTGTTAATTATTGTCTAAGACAGAAAACTACGAACATATAGAATGTTCGCCATACCTTTTTGTAATATTTTTCTTTAATTCTTTCGTACACACGCCTTTCGTACTGTATATTAAAACATTTCATTTTAGTCTTGCGCCTGATGAATACATCAAGACACCTTGTGGGTTCTATTTCATTAAATCAACAAAAAGGAAAGGAATATTGCCAGAAATTTTGGAGGATCTATTGGGGGCAAGAAAGAAGTGAGTATAAACTAAAATACCAAACTAATTTTATAATGAATAGCTTTATCAGTTCTGCTTAGACCAGTCTAGTTCCATTGAAGAATACAAACAAAACTTAAACGTCTCGTGCGAAGGCCCTTCGAAACGTCGAAGGTGCGAAGGGCTTGTGTGTATGATCCTGACTACATATTTAAAAACGCACAACTTGCAAAAAACATGCAACATACTTGTGCCAATGCTTTTTCAACAATTTGTTATCAAGATGTGTTTGCAGTGCTGGTTCCCAACTTGTTGACAAGTTGTCATTGGTTGAAAATTTGCTATAATGTCCTTGGACTCAACAAGTCGACTTGTTACAAGTTGTTCGAATAACTTGTTATCATGGTGCACTTCAACAACTTGTTAAGAAGTTGTTTCAACAATGACAATCTTGAATCTATCAGATTTAAATACGGCACAAGTTCGGCAACTGATTTAAACGTCGGACTTAATTGTACCGTTCTAAAATACAAGTACACTATATCAGTCATATATACGTACGCCATAACCTATACATGAACTTGTTAGAGCTCGATAACTGGCCAACCTCGTACCCAGGTTCTCAATCTTCGCTCCTACCTCGCTTGAATTGAGACCCTGGTATCGGCTGGTCACGTGACCCGTCATATTTTGGCGAATTTGCTCAATTGTTTTAGGGAAAGTATAGTAAGTAGATATTGTAGTAAACATTAATATTGTTAAAATAACATTACCAAACAAAACATCTCACTTACTATCCATTCCCTAAAAACAATTGAGCAAATCCGCTAAAATATGACGGGTCACGTGACCAGCCGATACCAGGGTCTCAATTCAAGCGAGGTAGGAGCAAAGATTGAGAACCTGGGTACGAGGTTGGATAACTGGCATCTGTAGCTCAGTTGGTTAGAGCGCTGCACCGGAATCGCAGAGCCGCAGGTTCGATTCGTGCCTGGGACCTAAAGTTGCATTTTTCGCTTCTGTTCCTGGTTAGGTCTAATAAATGAATATAAATTTCCACTCGATAATTTCCATCTACAATAACCTTACCTATGACACTGTTTGTTTCAGGGCAAAAATGGACCTGAAGAATGAGACAGACCCGTTTCGCAAGAAGGTAATTTTATATTTATATAAATGTGATTTTTTCTCATAGATTTAGTATATATATAGTGATCATCATATGATGGCAAATACAATAGGGATGAGCCGATAAGGAAAATTGCCGATTACTGAGGTCGATTATTTATAAGCCGATTATTGTAACTAATCGGCCGATTAATTGGTACCCACCGATTATTTTAAAAAGCAAGCGAAAAGTCACAAGATGACCAACAATGAAGTTGGAAATGCAGTTTTATTGTTTACAATACACATTATGTACAATTGAAAACAGCTTCAATCTTGCATGTCAATAGTCAAAGTTTAGTTTTGGCAGATTATGGTGTAAAAACAAGATACTAGCTGTCAGCTATGCCATTGCTGAGCTAGTCTGCTGCGTTTTTTTTAGTGGAAATGTTCCCAGCTTCACTTCGCTTGAGACAAAAGACGCAGGTTTTGCAACAAAATGTGAAAATCTATTCGCTTGTATTGAGTATTTTAGCATGTGTTTGGCAGCTGCAGAAAAAGTCTTATGGCTGATTATTTGCCGATTATCAGGCAATAATCGGCCGATTACCGATTATTTAAAAAACGGCCGATTAATCGGCTTTGCCGATTATTTACCGATTAATCGGCTCATCCCTAAAATACAATTAAAGATTAACATTACGAGTGATGTTTGAACATTTAGAGTAGCCGTTTTATTGACTCACAGATACTCCGTTGGAGTCTTTGTGTGAGTCTTTGCCATGAACCACAGAATCAACTATTTCTTTTGTTTTCCTCCAGCTTGCTTTGCGCGCCTGGAACCGGTCAGACCGGCGTAGAATGCTTCGTGATTGGTTGTTTTCACAACGCTTGCAAACATCGTGCTTTTGGGCAGTTTTGGGTGAATTTCCATGTCTGGATTTGATATTGCGGTGACGATTGACCTTTTGTTACGCATTATCTCTGGTTATGCGCCCATTAAGGACAAAAATACCACTGTTCGATTCAGCGAAAACAATTGTACTTACGGATGTCAAACGTATTACTAAACAACATTATTCTAGCGATTTATACCCTTTGAAAGTCGAGCGAAAAGCTGCGAAATTATATTGTTGACAAATCGCTCAAAATTATTAAACTAATTAAAAATGCAGTACGTTTGATCCTTGCTAACTTTGGTATTGTTGGTTTCCTCGTTTTCGGCCGTATACCAGCGAATTCGTATGTGATCGTATTTTATTTCTGGGCGACTTTACACTCTATGCCTGCGACTGTCTTCATAGGTGATAGGAATGAAAGCAAAGGCTAACTATTCCCGTTCCCAAACCGGCGACACGAACACTTCAACTCGAAAAATATCCTCTTTAAATCGCTTTGTTTTCGGTTAAAATTCGCCAGCGTATAGAATAAACACCCATCTTCGAACATAGAAGGCAATTTTAACATGCCCTGTAATTTTTGGAATGGATTTTTAACAAAATGTTTCGAAAACCAAATTCTATGGAACTTTGAAAGACCAATAATTACTACCGCGCCTGCTTGGCCACCTAGTCTTCTTTACCGTTTGGATTGTCAGGGGAGGGGGGTTCAAATAACAAACACATATTTCCGGCAACAGCCAGCCAATCAACGCCTCGATACCGACTGTTTACAATATTTGAAATCTGATATGTAATTTATCAACAACAAAACTCTTTCGATGAATCGATCGTATAGTATACGATAGAAAGGAAATACAGGAAATCGCGGCGTTGATTTGCTGGTTGTTGTTGCTGTATACGATCGAAAGAGTTTTGCAAATTACAATATCAGATTTCAAATATTGTAAACAGTCGGTATCGAGGCGTTGATTGGCTGGCTGTTGCCGGAAATATCTGTTTGTTATTTGAATCCCCCCCCCCCCTGACAATCCAAACGGTAAAGAAGGCTAGGCTGCCAAGCAGGCGCGGTAGTAATTATCGGTCTTTTAAAGTTTCATAGAATCTGGGTTTCGAAACATTTTGTTAAAAATCCATCCCAAAAAGTATAGGACATGTTAAAATTTCCTTGTATGTTCGAAGATGGGTGTTTATTCTATACGCTTTCGAATTTTTACCAAGAACAAAGCAATTTAAAGGGGATATTTTTCGAGTTGAAGTGTTCGTGTCGCCGGTTTGGGAACGGGAATAGTTAGCCTTTGCTTTCATTCCTATCACCTGTGATGACAGTCGCAGGCATAGAGTGTAAAGTGGCCCAGAAATAAAAGATGATCACATACAATTAAATTAGGCAAGTAAATATAATTTTAAAATATAAAATTCATTACAAATATTACTGTGTAATATATTCTATTATTATATATTTACTATAATACACGTCTGGGTCGCCTGTGCTAGGCTCTACTAATAATATTACACGACATGATCCGTGAGTCGTCTCATTGAGACCTTTGATAAAAACATGAATTTCGAAGACTATACTAAATGTGGAATTGGCCAAAAAGCTTAAAGTACTCATTTTTGCAAAATATTTTGGATGTACTTTGACATTTCAAAACATATGACTCGTTGACGCAGCCATGTCGAATTCGAGGGTTAGCCTGCGAACAGGCATTATGAAATGACGAAATTTTAAAATAAAATTCGTGTATAAACGGATTTCTTAAAAGTTTCGCATCTTGTAGCAAATCTTTAACAAGTTGTATTCGCACTGCTTGTACCAAGTTGTCAACAAGTTTGGAACTAACAACTAGTGGTTGTTCCAACAAATCCAATACAGTCATAATATTGTTACAACCTTGTGTCGTCAAACTTGTAACATTCTTGTTTTATCATGACTGTATTGGACTTGTTAGAACAACCTTGTAACAAGTCTGATAATGCCGTCAAGCTTGTAGCAAGTTGTTAACAGCTTGCTTCAATCTTGTTACAACAACTAGGAACAACCACTCAAGCAGTGCGAACACAACTTATCGACGGCTCGTGAACAGATTTGTATTAACTTGTTCGCAGACCAGTAACAACCCTGATCGAGCGAATAGTTACCTCCATGCATAGATGCAAAAAGTAAGTTTACGTGGTAAGAGTAACCAGTAAGTCGTGTGTAAGATCCAAGTAATCTTGATTCGTTTTAGGTACTCGACGGCCGACAGTTGGCCTTAAAAATAAGCGCTAACTCCGTATATGGCTTTACTGGTGCTCAAGTTGGAAAACTACCATGTCTGGAAATTTCTTCTGTAAGTATTAAATGGTAGTCTCCGCTCATCATCGTGATCAACAGTCATGATAGTGTGTAGATAATCGCTGTTTTTATGTCGCTTCACTATATATTGTGCATAGACGGAAATTAGCAATCACCATGTTTTTCCTAATAAATCTTCAAGGGTCAGTTGTACGAGGCTGGATAGTGATTTTTTAAACGTTGTAAAAATGTGATAAAACGAATATGTATCCCACATGCAATTAATAACAGGAAACTTTAATTTTTATATACTAAAGTTTAATCTGGGTTGTATAACTGTCAACGGCCAATTGAACTGGTCTCAGTTCTATTGAAACTTCTCTTCAGTTCTACTCTGGGAGGCAGACGTTTTCCCCCATAGAAATAATAGATATCAGTGTTATCTGTTATCAGATAACATTGTTATGTGAAGGTTGAGCCAGCGGCATGTAATTTTATGGCAAGAGGCAGTTTTAAGTACACGAATAAAAACAAAAAGAACAACATAAATGAACGGCGTTTTATCATTATGCATTCCATAGTACACATACAAGAACAAAGCTTCTTTCAAACGTCATGACATACACTGTATATGTCGTTCGTATTTTAGAGTGTTACTGCATTTGGAAGAATGATGATCGATAAAACGAAAGAACTCGTGGAGGAGAAATACACCATTGCAAATGGGTACAAACACGATGCAAAGGTACACTATCCGATCTGTCACCGTAAATTTTCACTTAAGTAATCCCTTCAATCAGATCCTCTCATAAGAACCTGACGTGCTTTAGTTAATTTACAATACACTTGCAAACATACGATATTGTGCTCTTTCAAGTGACGTCACACACGAACAAGAAGAGTTATAATGGTCCACAGCTGTTTAGAAGGTGGTTGAAAATAATATTTTGCCACCTAAAATGACGGATTACTTTTGATGATACGTCATACTGCAAGAACTGAATAGGGCATTAATTAGACGTGTAACCTCCTGTGAAACAATTTTCAAAACAACCAACACAAATAAGCCGAAATATATTTTACATACTAGAAATACATCCATGCAACAACCCCTCGCCTATATTTTCCAAGCATTGTTTCAACATGAAGTATTCGTAATTACGCCAACACTGAACGCAGGCTCGCGTTGCCACGTCATGTTAGTCATGGCAATACGATAATTGTTTTTTTTTTAATTTTTTGTACAAACCTGCAAAAAATAGATGAAACTTGAACAGTTTTAAATACAGAACTATCAATTCCTAAAATATATAAAGTAGGTATATTATTTTGGTTTCTATGGACTTTATTTTAATGTAAAATTCAAAACGAAACTCTACGTAAAACGTTTTTAAATGTGAATTGAAATTAACTGCTTTTTGCTGATATTAAACTCTTCAACTCCAGCTTGTTACTCGCACTTTGAAATGAAATAAATTTAATTCGTACAGCACGCTAATGAATCATGCATGACTGTACTGAATACTAATATTTCGTCAATTCCCCCTTCTTTTTTGCTATATTTCTTGTCCTGGTATAGTGCTTTGCAGCTCATGTGAATATAGTGTGCACAATCTCAGGATTTTGATTTCTTACGTATAGGTTATATATGGTGACACAGACTCCGTTATGGTAAAGTTTGGTACAGAAACTGTTGGAGCAAGCATGGAGCTTGGAAAAGAAGCTGCCTCTTACGTCACATCTCATTTCGTCCAACCAATCAAACTTGAGTTTGAGAAGGTTTGTTTTCCAATTTTATTACTTGTACGTGGTGTATTAACTTCAAATGTTCCGCGAATTTTATGTGAATAAATGTTGTTTAAAATTTATAACTACTAAATGTGAAAGGGCTGTTTTTGCCAACCACATTTAAATAACTTGCGCACAAGAATGGATTTGCGATTCTAATTAATATTTCACTCCAGATCTGACTTTCACGTCTCACTGGTTCAGTAGTTGGTTAATTGGGAAGATTAAACACATCTGATTGGTTAATTGGGAAGATTAAGCGCATCTGATTGGTTAATTGGGAAGATTAAACACATCTGATTGGTTAATTGGGAAGATTAAATACATGTGATTGGTTAATTGTCTCTCACAAGTATTGGTATAGTGGAATTCTAACTGAACCTCTCTAGGATCGTATCTGAAACCGTAACAGGCGAGGAAAAATGTCAAGCAAAAATAAAATATCAGCACCATCAAACGTGATTGTTTATAAACCATCATTGGCAACCAGGTTTAATATGAGACAAATTGCATGAGCCATGATAGCCTGCATGGCAGACGGTCTAAAATACCGCCTACTGGGTTTGGCAGTGTAATTTGATAACCGCCCACTTTTTTGTCCGAGTCCAATTAGCCAATCAGCAAACACTAAATATATTTATAATCAAACTGTCAAACTATGTTGTTGTTTGGTCGCAAAATTGCAAATGTATAAAAATATGTCGACAAGAGGTAGAAAAGCAAGCGCGGAAAATGTAAATGACTTGTCGTTTGTTTAAGTGTGCTTTGAAATTAAAATACGGGGCAATACGCCAATAGAGAAAATATCTTATATTCTTATATATCGTTGGAGAAATGATTTATTTAAGGCAAGCAAAAGAAACGTTACGACAGTGGTAAAACCTTGGCCGAAATAAGCCGAATTGCCGGTTCAGTTCATTTAGGAATCGAAGTTAATTCTACCTCGGAACTATCCGACCAAGTTTGTAAACCGTGTGAGCGAAATATCCGAAATGCAAGCGAACTGATTGCCATAATCAAACGAGACATAAACGCGTTGCTTGTGTACGTTCGAACAAATAGACAGTTGTATATTAAAAACCTCAGTTGCCAATATGAACTGTCTCGTCTCCCTAACGAAGCCGTGTGGTAACGAAAGCCTTAAAAAGTTCAGAAAGTGAAGCGGCTATTAATAGGCATAGGCGTAATACTCCTGTTATAAAACCCGTTGCAAGAAAGACTATACGGCCGTCTGTATCTATTCTCGTTATATTTTCTCGCGCCAACAAGAACGATGTAAAAATCAAGCTTTTCCCATAGAATGGCCAAAACATTCTTTCCAAGGAGTAAATCTTTAACTGCTATCTCTTGCTCGCGTTTGACAATCAGTTCGCGTTTCTACTTTCGAGAAGCGTTCAGTTTTACAACACCTATTAATTAAAGCGAACATGTATGTTTACATATTAAAGTGCATTCACTTTTGAGTGACAGCGGCTCAGACTCGCAGCCAATCATCAATTCCCGTCCACTGGTGGACGGGGAATTCGATTACACTGCCAAACCCAGCAGGCGGTATTTCCCAGGCTTGCCCAATTTTAGGAACCGCCTGCCATGCAGGCTAGAGCCATGAGGGATAGATTTTATCGCCATATTTTCATTCATGATCATCGTATCGAAGGTGGAAACTTAGCGGGATTGTCGAAATGTTGGGTTGTGAATGCAACACGCCCTTTTCATAATTATAAAAGCATGTCTATTAACATTAAATTAACCACATTAATAAAACATTAAATAAGATAAATGTTGGCTTTGAGTGATCTGATAAGCTATCCTAGGATGCATTTTTGTAACTTGTACAAACTGAACTTGTACTTGGCGGCGATACGCTGCTATTCAGTAGGGACTTTATTTAGTTGTAACAAATGATGTATTTTTCTTTACATTCACTGCATGTTAACATATAAAATGTGCGGATCAATTTAAATTTTATCGCCGTATTTTACCATAATTCGGAACCGCTACAGTAATAAAGAACAAGTTACAGCAAATGACAAAAGCGGAATAGATAGGTTCTTCTATTTTGACTGTAAACAAGGGCGTACAACACTAAAACTATTACATTTTATTTCAAGGTGTATTTCCCGTATCTTCTAATCAGTAAAAAGCGGTATGCAGGGTTGTATTTCACAAAGCCTGAAATACATGATAAAATGGATTGCAAGGGAATAGAGACGGTAAATGTTTTCTACTTGTTTAATGTTTTTTACTTTGTTTAATATTTTCTTGTTTTTTTCTCTTTTTTTTTCAAGAAATAACATTGTCCTGTAATAGGTGGCAACCTGATTTAAAGGGCATATGACTCGAAAATTGACGGTGTTATTTTTAGTCTAATTTGAAAGATCATTGAAAACTGTAGAGTAACTTCTTTGATAGATTTTTGTTTTCTTGCTTCGTTTTGAAGATATTTTAAATTGTATGATCTGCAAAGGACCAACTTCCTACGTCACACATGCATAATGATTTAGCCCTTAAAGCTGTATATCTTTAATACGACTAAACACAATCAGTAGAAAACTTACATGGGTGTTGTTGTGTACAAATCTCGTGCTCATCATTCATTTTGTAATTATGCATGTGTGACGTAGAAAGTTGGTCCTTTGCATATCATACAAAATGAAATATCTTCAAAACCAAGCAAGAAAACAAAAGTCTGTCAAAGAAGTTACTCTACAGTTTTCAATAATCTTTCAAATTAGACGAAAAAATGACAACGTAAATTTGCGAGTCCCTTTGAGCACCTAGTTGTCAACGTTTGGAGACTAGTTGTCAATAGTTGGTATACTGATTTATGTGATATTTTGTCATTTCAGGTTCGACGAGACAATGCCCCATTAGTTGCCAGTCTGATCGGCAATTGCCTGCAGAAAATTCTCATTGACAGGTATATCGTAACATTTATTTCTATAACATAATATTTGTTGATATGATATATGTGATATGTTATTAAAATATGGGGAATGACCACGACAGTATCAAATGGACGTCGTTTATGTACTGTTTAATAAACGAGCAGGAGTGTTTTATTAGGCTTTAGACCTAATAAAACACAACCTGCGAGTTTATTAAACTGCTTCAAACACGACTACAAATTCAATAGATATATGCATGCCTTATTAGTATTCTTTATATAAAGAATACTAATTTTATAGGAGTGTTTTATCAGGTTTAAAGCCACTGCACGTGACATATTATGGTTGACATGATTTGCCAATAAGCTTATGAATTATTATCATGAATCATCGTCCAAGTGCACTTTTATGAGGACACGACTACAATAGATACTGCATGCCTTATTAGTATTCTTTATATAAAGAATACTAATTATAGGAGTGTTTTGTCAGGTTTAAAGCCACTGCACGTGACATATTATGGTTGACATGATTTGCCAATAAGCTTATGAATTATTATCATGAATCATCGTCCAAGTGCACTTTTATGTATGATGTATATCATCATACAGACACATTGATAACATGCTCCTCACCTCCCCATTGCTAGCCGACAAGGAAACGTGCCATTGTACTACTCCCTGTAGCTCAGTTGGTTAGAGCGCTGCACAGGAATCGCAGGGCACAGGTTCGATTCCTGTCAGAAGGCTTGTATAGTTACATCGGCGCAGCCTACCTGTTGTTGTCTGGCTTTTTTTTGGGGGGGGGAGTGGCGAGACGCAGTACGCTATCCAATAAATCCATTAGTACTTTGACAATGAAAATAAGCCAGGCATATCTTTCAGAGATCCTCAGGGTGCAGTGGAATACACAAAGCAAGTGATATCAGACTTACTGTGTAATAGAATTGACATATCACAGTTAGTTATTACGAAAGAACTAACAAAAACGGGGGATGAGTACTCTGCAAAGCAAGCTCATTCAGAATTGGCTGAAAGGTGAGATTTTTACTTCAAAGTGGCAATGTGTCATGTTTCATTGTGATACGAGTTATTGTGGGGTTTTTTTATAGAATAAGCCTAAAAGAGTTAAAACTTAATGTTAAGCCATATTTACAAAGGCTCAAAGCAGTAACATACAGTAAATTACATTTACAGTATATAAAATGTAAAGGTTTGCCCAATGTCAAGTTTCTTTGCCTTGGCCAATAGAAAACTTCGACAGCGCGAATGAGTACGATTTGCAAGTTCTGTTAATGAGGATATATATATATATATATATATATATATATATATATATATATATATATATATATATATATATATATATATATATATATATATATATATATATATATATATATATATATATATATATATAGGGTTGTACGTTCTTGTGCAACAGTGCAGGGGCCGGTTGTATAAAACACTTAATCACTATTCTGTAGTTAAATAGTGGTTAACTCTAATCCACGTAGTTAAGTCGGTTGTATAAAAAAGTAGTTAGCGTTAACTGTAAAATGGCGCTTGTATAGGAGTGAACAACATTTTAAGTAAAACAATAATGAAAAGCAACTCTTACCTGGGATTTTCAATCGCTGTCTTCCCTGTGAATGCTTCCTGACAATTAACAATTAGACAACGAAGCCGAGTTGTCTATGAGCGAATAGTCAACGAGGCGAAGCCGAGTTGACTATTCGTTCAGAGACAACGAGGCTGAGTTGTCTAATTGTTTTAGTATAAACCACATAAAGAAAACGGAATTTTTCACTTGACTTTTATGTAAAATAATAACGTTTTAACGAAATGAGCGTTTAAATGGCTTCCTTGGCTTTGGCGACATTTCGTCTTGGCTTTGTTGACAACTACTAAGTCAGTTGCGAACTCCCAAGAATGACTTGAAAAATACAACTTGTGAGTTTTAAAAAAGTTAAAAAACATGTCATAAAACAGTATAATAGTAAGAGACCGTTATAGAAGCAAAGTTTGGTTAATTAAAACTTATTTAAAAGAAGGAAACAAGGCTTAAAAAATCCAAAATTTCGAACACAAAATGGCTTCCCGAATTTTTATTAAATTAGTAAATAAAGTTTACGTCGTTATAAAAAGCCGAATAAAAATGCACACACATGCAAAAGAATCCGATTATCCGAATGTCTTTGAAATCTTTAACATATCTGGAACATAAAGAGGCAAACTATTTCCATAATCTAGTATACATACACAATAGTTTAGATTAAAATTTAATCGAAAAACTCGACTTAAAAAGGCTCGAAAAGACGAAAAACAAACTCGGCCAAAATCTCAACATTTAAACGGAAAAAAACTCTTTAAAATGACAGCTAAATACATGAACTCGTACTTAAAACGAGCACACACTAAAGAGGTTGAGAAAATAGGGGTAAATAACTACAAAGTATTGTTGAATTTCAACGATTCTGCTTGGAATATTAACAAACATTCTGCACATTTTAAAAAATCGCCTGTCACTTTCATGTTCAAAACTACGAGCAAAGTTGAGAAAACTTAAAATTTTTACCGCATATGTCAGCAGTTTCCAAGAGTCTTTGTTTGTGTGTAATCCAGAACCAAAATTAGACCATTTTGATAAGCTTTTTCCCTTTAAATACAGCTTTTAATGCTTAAAAACGGCCATTGACTCTCGCGCCCTTCGCCACTGTTGCTACTAGTAGGCTATCACTAATAGCCTACTACTAGCGCAGCCAATCAGAACGCACGATACATGATAGCCTACTAGTAGGTTTATACTAATACAGTATAAACTCTTCAAACGCTATCGCTTTGATTTTTTGGCGGAAACTAAATATATTTTTCCACGGGAAGATTTCTCGAAGACGACGTAGGGTCCATTTATACACGAAGAAACATGATATATAATTGCCAAACAGTTACAATAATTGGTTTAACGTAGACATCTCAAGTAAAAACGACCTTCTCCGTTGATTTTTTCCTTGTTTTCTTGTATATTTTTCACTATTTTGAATAAAGTTTCACTATATTGAGCAAAATATGAGTCCACAATCGCGTTAAAAATGCTTGTAAGCGGTCGTTAATGAGTCTTTACTTTAATTAATTTTACTGTTTAACCACGCAAGCCCCACACAAGTTAACTACGTGATTACGTAATCATCCGCCAAACTACGTTTTGTGCAACGCAATTAAGTCGTGAATTAACTAATCATAGTTAAGGATTTAACTATACAGTGATTAACGCTAATCATAGTTAAAGTTAACAGCGTTTTTATACAACTGACCCCAGGTGAACTATTTCGACTCGTGGGAACTCGTAGGCGCACACCCTAACCACCGCCCCAGTGGCAAACTCGCTAAAAACGTCCAACAATTTCATTTAACAAATCGACCTATAATTATAGGTCGAATATAACTGCACGCATGGTTGGACGTTTTGTGTTATAGATTTCATTATAAATTAATTTATTTAACAACTATATACTGTACGTTGCATTCTACTCTGCTACATTCTCGATAACAGTCTATTACAGTATAAAACACTGTTCATTACCAACGGGTTTTCCAAATGGGATCAAATCATCTGCTGAAAAATTGTTTTCTGAGTCATCTGTTGATATCGCGCGATTAAGACACTCTTATTATATGGCAAATCACTTCCGGTGAAATGGCGGACCGTGATTGGCTGAGAAGCACTTTCAGCGTAAAAACAAACGCATGCATGCATTTTAAAACAAAACAGCAAAACTAATTGAAAATTATAATTTAATTTATTATTAATAAGATATCTGCGAATGGTTTTTAGTGGAAAAGAAGGAATACATTGGAATACAATACATACGTTTGTTTTCTTCGACCAAATGTGTAGCACGCTAATAATATGCATTTCAAATCAATGACATGCATATAATGCCTATAAATGCCATATAATAAACTTTTTATTAACCTCGCTTGCTCGGTATGTACAGAGGAATATCGGACCAAATTGCACAAATGCCTATAAATGCCATATAATAAACTTTTTATTAAGCTCGCTTGCTCGGTATGTACAGAGGAATATCGGACCTTGGTTTTTTTACAAACCTTGCCCTACGGGCTCAGTCTGTACAAAAAAGACCTCGGTCCGATATTTCTTTGTACAGACCTCGCGTTCGGTAATGAGAAGTATATTCTTGGTCCAGAAGCAACACACATGCATTTACATTACACTGTATAGTGCTGATAATAAATTTACTAACATTTATGGCCATATCATTTCAGAATGAGAAAAAGGGATGCAGGATCCGCACCAAAATTAGGTGATCGTGTACCGTATGTGATTATCGCTGGAGCAAAAGGGATGGCTGCTTATCAGAAAGCCGAGGTAAAAATACTATATTTCACAATTAGTTGTATATTGGTCGCATTCATGCAGTCTGTTCAGCGATAATAGACCTTTCCCCTTATGAGTGAAATTTTGATCTAGATATGCCTGGACAAAAATTTCATCACAGCTTGAAAGAGCATCACAAAATGAGTAATATTCCGAAGTTTCGTTGCGAAATGTTGTAAAATGCGGATAATATAGCCTTGCGAAGTTTGCCGTTTTTCAGTCATTTTGCATTATAAACGGAAAATTGATAATCAGATGATCAAACTGCATGATTATCAATTTCCCATTTGTAGTAATACAAAATGACTGAGAAACGGCAAATTTCGCAAGGCTATATTATCCGCATTTTACAACATTTCGCAATGAAACGTCGGAATATTACTAATTTTGTGATGCTCTTTCAAGCTGTGATGAAATTTTTGTCCAGACTTGTCTAGATCAAAATTTCACCCAAAAGGGGAAAGGTCTATTAGCAACTTCTGAAACGTTGAACCGTTTTTTTTTGTAAGGTTTTTCTTTTAAAACTTGGAGTATAAAATGGGTTCAGACTATATTTCTAAAAACGTGTGATGTTTTACATAAGTATTTGCATGTTGATCGACTGCAAACCTATTTTTCCTTGCGCCATTTTTTTGGTATTGCAGGAACGTAACTTCTTTGGGTGCCGTCTGGCAAAAGCCTTGGCATGGTGGTATACTTTTCACACAGTATAAACAAAATGGGTGAACCCATTGTGTTTAGCAATTATTATAAATTACCATTCATATTGCGCGTGTACAACATTTCTCGCCATGTCAATATATTATAATGACATCATAATATCAGTCGACCAAGAAAAAGTAACGGGACTAACGGCATTCATGTCGATTTTTTAACGATAATTTCCAACGTAACATATTACTGCAACCAAAGATCGTTAAAACCGTTAATAAATGGCACGCTTCACGCATTAATTAACAATTATTCGCCGAAGGCGAGGTGATTATCGGTGAATAAAAACCGAGACGAAGTCGAGGTTTTTATTCACGATAATCACCGAGCCTGAGGCGAATAATTGTTTTAGTATAATTTCATAGGTGATTATTTGGGAAAAATTTAAAAATGCACATTTCTTCGTCATTTAATTGATAAAACGGCTTCGACCGCCATTTTGAAAATCGCTTAGGTGATTATCGCGTAATAATCACCTCAACGGCAACCAATCAGCGTGGAGAATTTTCAATAATCACCTATGTAATTATACTAATTTGACATATTGCATTAAAACGCAACGTGTATCAACGTGCAGTGCATATAATTATTAAAATGCGTATATTCTCAACAATCGGTTTTAGACTTGTTTAATTCACATGCCCTTTTTATATACCAAAGTGTCGTGATCTGTTGGCTCGCGTCATTTGAAATTTAATTAAAGGTGCATCAACCACCCCATTTCAAATGTAGTGAAGTGATTCTAATTAACGCGCGTGAAATTGTTTTAATGGACCTATTACCTAAAGGCTGATTTCCACTGTTGCGTTTTTCATACGTACGTATACGCACGTAAAACTTTAAATCCGTTTAAATGTTACTTATGGAATAACCAAATAAATAAAGCAACAGAATTTAGTGTTCTGCAAGTTTTAGTATGCATTTGTTAACTTATTTGTAAAATATTTAAAAAATAGATGGATTCGAAGTTTTACGTGCGTGTACGTGCGTACGAAAAACGCAACAGTGAAAATCAGCCTTAATGAACAAAATTTGATCAAAGTCTAGACGAAAATTTTATCACGGCTTGAAAGAGCATCACAAAATTAGTAATGTTCCGAAGTATCGTTGCGAAAGTAAAATGCGGACAATATAGCCCTGCGAAGTTTGCCATTTTTCATTCATTTTGTATTACGCATGGGAAATTGATACCTTTTTTCAGAAAGCGGTATCAATTACCCGTGCGTAATACGTACAAAATGACTGAAAAACGACAAACTTTGCAGTGCTATATTATCCGCATTTTACAACATTTCACAACGAAACTTCGGAATATTACTATTTTTGTGATGCTCTTTCAAGCTGTGGTGAAATGTTTGTCAAGACTTGTCTAGATCTAGTTTGTTTCCACAAACAACATATTTTATGTTAGTTGCTGTGTTGGTGTAATGTACTCAGGTGAATAAGATGTATGTATGTATGTAAAACTTTATTTCAATACGCTAACTTCGACAATTATTTACAACTGGTTTCCACGAAGGGCGTATACACACAAAGAGCTAAATGTTAATTATATATAGAACAAAATATGTAAGAATCCCACCCTAAAATTTTATCATCTTCCTCCCAAATGTGATGTTACTCTGAGTGTATATCCACACCGGGCAGGCTTGAAAATTACGCCTGGCCACGGTGGGAATCGAACCTACGACCTTTGGAACACTAGCCCAATGCTCTGACAACTGAGCTACGCGGTCAGTTGGCAGAGCATTGGGCTAGTATTCCAAAGGTCGTAGGTTCTATTCCCACCGTGGCCAAGCGTATTTTTCAAGCCTGCCCGGTGTGGATATACACTCAGAGTAACATCACAAGCAAAATATTATGTTTTATCGCCATCATGCAAACCTACACTCGAAATGTTCATGCACAAAAACCGAAATGCCCCAAATCATGAAAAATGTGGCATTCGTCAATATTTTCATTTTTGGCGTCGTCGGCGCTAATTGCCGTTTGCTGAGGGTTGTACATTGAAAAATTTGTTTTCACATTTTAGGATCCCATATACGTACTTGAAAATAACGTTCCTATTGATACAACATATTACTTGGAAAACCAACTGACGAATCCTCTTATGAGAATATTTGAACCAATTCTTGGCGAGGATAAAGCAAAATCAGTGTTATTCAGTAAGTTTCCCGAGTTAATTCTCCAATATACCATCTTGCTGACGCAAACTTTCCTTAACGCTTATATATTTTGTGATCTTTGAAAAGCTGTACGTTTTGTGTCCCCTCACCAGAAAATCGTGGGTCTTTACTGGGACCACACAAAACATAAGGTTAATTGAGGATCTATTCTAAAACTACACCCGAGTGGCAGACGAGCTAGCACATGCACAGACGAGTATATATCAGACGACTATACACACGAGTACATTTTCTAAATACGACTGATATTCAAGGGGCCGGTTGTATAAAACTCTTAATCACTTTTTTAATCACTATTTTGTAGTTAAATAGTGGTTAAGCCCCACGCAAGTTAACTACGTGATCAGTTAATCATCCGACAAACTATACGTTTTGTGCAACGCAATTAAGTCGTGTAGTTATAACTAACCATAGTTAAGGATTTAACTACAGTGATTAACGCTAATCATAGTTAAAATTAACGACGTTTTTATACAACCGGCCCCAGGTACCTACAAGAACATACGGCTATACGGAAATAGAACAGTCGCTGCGCAACTAATAATATTCAAGCTAAAGTGACAAAATATTATTTATAATTTAAGTGTGTATAATTGCAAAACTAATTATAATTATTTGTATTTTTTATTATTGTTTTGAGCAACAACTTGCCCCGTCACTTTACCGGCAGATTGCGTGAATATAGATTGACGTTTACAGCAGACCGCTAACGACAATCTTCAAATTATTATTCAATCTTCATAAGTATATTCACGCGATCTGTCATTAAGTGACGGAGCAGGGTGTTTCTCAAGACAATAATAAAATATACAAATACTTTCTAATTAATTATGCGATATATATAGTACAATCAAAATAGAAAATAGGTCAGAAAAAAATAGTAAAAAGCCAAAAATTAGCGTATGCACTCTCTTCAGCAACCTTGATAACATACTAAAAGTCCTCATGTATCCTCTTGGAGCTTTCTCCATTATGACAAGTTTTTTGTTCGATTTCCCTAGTGAACTCCTATATTGTTAAAAAAGTGAAATTTCAGATTCATTTATAGGAAAAATAAGTTACATCATTAGAAAACTTAGAAAAAACTACATATAAGACATTTAAACGGCTACCTTGATTTTGCAAGTTCTTGAGTTATGAGCTGTTGGAAACGTGTTGTCAGATTTTTGCCAGATTTTGGCCTATTTTTGTTGCATGCCATATATGGCATGCAACTTTCATATAGCTCTAAATTTCGTGTCGTGTTCGGTGAGCGTACCAGTCACGTGGCAGATTCGTAAAATACGACAAATACTGAGTTTCCGACGAGCATTTTCATGCCGGGTTTTCGTCGAGGAAACGCAAAGAAAATTTATATATTGATTATTCGCCGAAAATTTACATAATCGAGCGCCTTAGAAAAATAAATCGAGGTAGGTAAATCTTTACTGTTTTAACTTACCTTATATTTTGTTATTTGTTGTGATTTTGGAGCCGTTGTGCTCGCACTGATTATTTATCAACTATCACGCGTTTATATTTATATATCGTGAAAGCCTCAAAGCCGCGAACGCTATCAAAATACTCGATTTTTATATACTCAAACTGAAACGGAGCCATTGTGCTCGCACTGATTATATTGTGTGCAAAGCTTCAAAACTACAGCATATTTTGTAAACAACATGAAATATAAATATCAAACACAATTTAAATTATAAATAGTAATACAATTGAAATCGAGATTGAAATATACAACGAAATAGCAACCGTTGTGAAGTACGCATAAGATTCAACATGACATTCGATATAGTGTAAATTAACTCATTTCAATCACTCAAACGTCAAAATGATAAATAATAATCATTTTCAAGCTATTGTAGTAATTCACCGTTTCCACGGGGTTTTTATACCCATTAAAAAGTTACAATAAAACAATATCTATAGGAAATATAACGTTATTTAGTTATTAATTTGTAAAGTAAATCTAACAGTCAATCGCTTTTGATAAAACCTTGACCCGCCTTGACATTGTTAAAGGGGCCCTACAGTATTTTTTTAGTCATTTAAGTATTGTTTACATTTTTGTTATTGTCGCTACTTGACATGCGCATCACGGCATTCATGCGTCTTCCGGTGTGCGGAAGTACTCATATTCATGGATACTGCATGTAAGATACAGCCAAACGAATCTCCGTGGAGTCCCCTACTTAAGGTGGCTTTTCGACTAAAAAATGACTGTAGGGTCCCTTAACTCCCTTTAATGTTATTATTACCGTCGCTTGCAACTAGCTATAAATGGTCGCTTAAAAAACATTGTCTATATTCGCGTGTTTCTGCTGGGGTCTACACCGTAGGCAAATTCGCGTGAGAGTCTTAAGTTTTCTTATTTTGACATAATAGCTATTTTGCGATAAATATATTGATATTAAATTTATTGAATCGATATTTTAAGTTTCACGCCAGTTGTACCAAAGGTTATAAGCGCTATAGCGCATCATAAGCATAGATATCTTATATAAGATATCTATGATCATAAGTTTCAGATGGCATGCAACATGTACACAGTGCGTACCTATTTTTCACATTTGGAACAGCAATAACTCGAAAACCGCTTGAAAAATTTAGGTGACTGTTTAAATGTCTTATATGTAGTTTTTATGAGCTTTCTAGTGATGCGAGTCATTTTTGTTATGAGTGAACTTGAAATTTCACGTTTTTTAACAATATGGGAGTAATAGGGAAATCGAAAAAAAACTTGTCATAATGGAAAAAGCTCCAAGAGGATACATGGGGACTTTTAGTATATTGTTCAGGATAGTTAAATTATTGCATCTAACAATTTTTGGTTTTTTACTATTTTTTTCCAACCTTGGCCTTAAAATGAGCTAAAATTACTGAACTAATAATACAAACTTAAATTGCAAACAATATTTCGTTATTTTAGCTTGAATATTATCAGTTGTTGCGGCAACTGTTCATATTTCCATAGCCGTATGAACTTGTAGGTACCTAGATAGCATGCAGTCGTATTTAGAAAATGTACTTCTCTGTAGTCGTCTGTACTCGTTTGTCACTTGGATGTAGTTTTAGAATAGATTCCGTATACGGAATATATGAGGACTTTGCACGATGAGGTTTTATATATGCCTTATAGATAATTTGTACTATTGTCTGTCGCATCAATAATTGTACATGGTTGTTTTGATATCTCTAGAGGGAGAACATACAAGAACAAAAACTGTTGTAACGTCAGCAGTTGGCAAGTTGGCAATGTTCGCAAAGAAACGAACTACTTGTATTGGGTGTAAATCTGTGCTTGATAACGACCGTAAGTAGCTACTATTTAACAAATATAAAACATTTTTCGTGTTGATATGAACACGTATCAACACGAGTGGAAATTGGGAAAACGAGAAATTGTGTGAAAAATCGTTTTCCCAATTTCCACGAGTGTTGATATAACTACATATCAATAGGGAAAAAATGTTTTATGTACTGTTTAATAAACGAGCAGGAGTGTTTTATTAGGTTTATAAAACACGACCTGCGAGTTTATTAAACGGCTTCAAACACGACTACAAATTCATTAATAGATAATTACTGAGGCCAACGGCATTATTCGATATATTGCAGCCAGCTGAGGCCGAAGGCCGAAGCTGGCTGCAATATATCGAATAATGCCGTTTGGCCGAAGACATTCGTTACTGACCCGAATCAAAAGTAATTATTTTCGGCTGGAAGACTACGTTGCTGCTTGTTGGGACCGTATGACAATAAACCTATCCAACGTTACACTAGACATTTGTGAGGACATGCATGTAATGCATCGTGATAGAACAGATTTCAGTTTAATTAATCGCCCTAAATTAAAATCTGCACAAGCGGAGATAATTAGCAGAAGGTTCAAGAAATTGTAAGGAAATACAGCCAGAAGGTTCAAGAAATTGTATTGTACAAGAACATGAACTAAAGGTGATTGTTGACAAATTTATCGTCTAAAACATTTTGTTTATCAACTAAGCAACGACAATTTCCGAATTTTCGTTTGAGATACATTTCTTTAAAAAAAACTGTGTCGCCAAATATAAAAAAATTTCGTGTTCACAATAACTAAACTTTAGGATTTATTCTACAATTTGAGTGGGTTAAGAAGTTTAACTTTTCGAGAGTTTTCTTAACTTTTGAGTTTGAATTTTTGTTTTGAATAATTTTGGAAAAAATTTTGAAGTCGTGTCCGTTAAAATCAACAATTTTTTACATGCATTATATTTCATTCCATACTTTAAATGCCAGGACGCTTTCAATTAATGTCTAGTCTACCCATTTGCTATATTTTCTCGTTTGTTTTACTAATTTTTGACCAATTAATAAGCATGTTTTTGTTTTAGAAATTGATATTCAAATTCCCCGCCATATTTTCATAATTTGGTGCATGCGCAGACGTTTTTCCGCGGTGTTGATAAACACGGGAATAGAACTTATGGTGTGTTCTGCACATGCGTATATCTAGGATAAAATCCGACAAGCGCAAACGAAACTATTTCTCTATAAAGTTGAGCTGAAAGGACTCACAGAGACCGTTTTGGCAGTGCTTCAGGCGCCCGATGATATTGTATGAGGGGCCTTTAGCACTGTCAACTTTTCATCTTGAGATGTTCACGTTATCGCGTGTACTTGTCAGGATGACGAAGGATTGTGAATAATGTCTGTGTGCACTGATACCCGCTGCATTATTTTTAATAATGCTGTGTGCACGCTGCATTATTTTTAATAATGCTGTGTGCACGCTGCATTATTTTTAATAATGCTGTGTGCACGCTGCATTATTTTTAATAATGCTGTGTGCACACTGCATTATTTTTAATAATGCTGTGTGCACGCTGCATTATTTTTAATAATGCTGTGTGCTATTTTAGCCCGTATAAACATTTACCCCTGGGAATTTCCCTACAATCAAAAAAGACCGCTCCCGTTTTTCAGAAGAACGCTAAAACTTCTCGACATTCGCTGATATAATGCAGAGAGAAAACAATAGGTTATTATGACCGTCAGTAATTATATAGATTTACTGCCTTGTTAGTACTCTTTATATAAAGAATACTAATGAGGACACGACTACAATAGATACTGCCTTATTA